GAAGACGAATCATTCGAACTCAAAGTCAAGATTTTGTTTGATAAATTAAAATAAAAGCTTCCTTGATTATTTCTTTACTTTGACACCCTTTCGATTGTGTGAATACCTCACATATAGTATGAATTTATAAAGAGTTTTATTCACTTCTAAGCTTCTGATAAATTACTATTGCTCCGCCGATGCAATTCTACTGCTATTATGGGATACTACAATATTATATTACTATTGCTCCACCGGCGTGTATTGTATTGTCTATATTGCAACTGTGGACGTTGTACGTAGTAGAATATCTTGAGCGGAGTATTGTTATCCATAAAAAATTGATCGTTGATTTGTATTATGTCGAATGTCAATTTGGCAAGTAAATAAATAAACTAATGCCAGGGTTCTACTCTCCGCCCAAAAAGCTCGCTCGAACTTAGTAGTCGGTGACAATCCGTTTAAGTATTCGATTTTTTACTGAAGGTGCAAAATCAATTAGTACGGCAGTTGAGATTCGGCTTTGCAGTGCGAGGGCCAAAGTACTCTTAGCGTTCCAAGTACACTAAGCGGCCTATTTTTCGTCTGTGTATGGTAGGTTAAGCTTGAAAAGCCGTCAGCGATTGGCTGAGAGAATTAGGAATTTCAAACTATACACAATGTACGACCCAAGACATATTAGGTAGATCACAACTCACCAAGTTGGCCTGTTTCATTTAGGGCGTACTGCTGAATGTCGGGGTTGGCCTGCAACTCGTAGGATGCCAGCTGCAAGCCGAGGGCCTCGCACCGGGTTTTGGCCTCGCAGTACGCGAAGTATTCGTTGGAGTTTGGAGGATTACTTCTCGTCACAACTTCGACGCAATGTCCGGCTATTATTTTATTGCAGCAAGTCAGCTTCTGCGGCATCAGTCCATGGTCGTACGTGGTATTCTTAGTATCTGAAAATAATAATAATAATAATAATAATAATAATAGCGGTTTCAGCGTTATTAGGCCGTAGGCCTGTCGCCGATTCTTGACATCGCAGAACATTCACAGCATTTTGCGGTCTCGAACTCGACACTCACTGCTACAATTCTGCTATGCTTAACCGCCCGGCCACCTTGCCGATTCTGACCAGAAACTGGCGCACAGAGCTGGGATCGAACCCGCGCCTCTCTGCGCCAATCTTGGTACTCTGAACTTTAACCACTGGGCCACAGTCAATAAGGCAAAGTAATCCTTCATTTATCGTGGGTGTTACGTACACAGATCAGGCCGCGAAAAGTGAAATCCGCGATTTTATTTATTTATCCACTGATAGTATTCATTTATTAGTGGATAAATATTATTAGAATATTATTAGAATTTATCCACTGATAGTATTCATTTAAGTATTAACGTGGTAATTACATAGTAAGTTATCATTGTTTTACGAGTTTATATAATAATTATATTATAAGTTATTGTATATTTTTCGCATCATCTTAGATTATTTTTTCTAAATACCAACCGATCACCTTCCTCAGGATTCCTGTAACCAGTAAAAATACTTGAAAAAACTTAAAAAAACACGTTTTTCTTGTAGACTAAAAAGTAGAAAATAAATTATGGCTCGCCCTAAAAAAACGTGTGTCGGGCAGATTTATAATTAAAGCGAAAANGAAATTTGATGGTGAACGTACAGCCCGACCCACGTTTTTTGGGGCGAGCCATAATTTATTTTCTACTTTTTAGTCTACAAGAAAAACATGTTTTTTTAGTTTTTTAAGTATTTTATTTTCTACTTTTTAGTCCACAAGAAAAACAATTAAGACTTGATTAAGTATGACTTGACGTACGTATCGATGATACGCAGCGTCAGCGCATGCTCGTCTATAACGTCAGCGCTCGCACGTCATACTATATATATACTTTACTCAATTAAGCTAATTTAGGTCTCTAATTGCTAGTTTTTATGATTGTATCTGAAATTGCTAGGCGAAAATAGCCTGCATGCCGAATTTAAGATCTTTAGAGCAATCAGAAGTGGGCTAATTTTCGTTGTCAATGTTAACCGCAAACAAACAAACGCGAAGCTGAGTAAAGAAAAACGTGTTAAAATTACGCGAATGATTATTCTCATTGACATCACTGATAAACAGAGAAAATAAATGTTGTTCTGAAATCATCTTGTTTGGGCTGTAAAGCATTTTTGCTGCAAATTTCGTAACTGGCGTTGTTATTTCCTAGCACGTCTATTTTTTTAAATATTAGCATTTTTAAGTAAAATATATAAAATAATTTTTTGTATATATGTTGGTAGTATTTGAACGAAACGAATCCCCTTAAATAATTTAAATTACTTGTAATTAGATCTTTGTGGTGCCTGAGTCTATATTGGGAGGAGTTGTTATGGAGGACAAAAGTGATTGCCAACATTCTGATGGATGCTTTTGTGTCAGTCAGGTAGCCTGAATGTGTTTTTGTGAATAGAATAGAATTGTCGGCACTGAAGAAATAGGCCCATAGCCTGTTGCTGATTCTTGTATTTTTCCTGACTTGGTTCCACAATGGATCCGGCTTCTGAACCCGATCTTTTCATAACATAACATAATCATTTTTTCTCGCCCAGGGTGGCCCAGTGGTTAAAGTTCAGAGTGTCAAGATTGGCGCAGAGAGGAGCGGGTTCGATCCCAGCTCTGTGCGCCAGTTTCTGGTCAGAATCGGCAAGGAGGCCGGGCGGTTAAGCAAAGCAAACTTGAAGCAGTGAGTTTCGAGATCAGGCCCGCAAAAAGCTGTGGATGTTCTGCAATGTTAAGAATCGGCGACAGGCCTACGGCCTAATAAACGCTGAAACCGTTATGTATATAACTGACGATTGTTTGAGATAGCTGCTGGACTTATTGCCTGGTTCGTAAGGTACTAGGCATTTAAAGACTGAACATACGCTCCTGCATAGCTTCGTCTAGTCTGTTCTTGAAGGCGTTCATATTCGGAGCGTCAACGATGCTATCAGGGAGGCTGTTCCACATGTCAGTGACGCGAAGCGAGAAGAAATGTTGTCGCATGGATGTGTTACAAAGCAGTATTTAGTTTATAGCTGTGGCCCCTGGTGTTGATTCTTGTTTCAAATTCTAGGACTCCTTCTGGGACCTTGTATAAACCGTTGGTATACTTGTATACTTCAATGAGGTCATCACGCAGACGTCAATAACAGAGGCTTGGAAGCTTCATAATCTTTAATCTTTCATCATAACGCTTGCCTTTTAATCCCGGAATTATCCTTATTGCACGTCTTTAAACACTCTCGACTGAATTTTTGTCCTTTTCTAGTTTAGGTGACCACGCGGCATTTCCAAACTCTAGGTTCGGACGCACGACAGCGACAAACAACGGCTTCATCGCTTCTGCATCTAGGAGCTCGTAAGAGCGTCTGATCAGTCCAAGTCGTTTATTGGCTATATTAACTTGAGCTTCAATATGTTTAGAAAATTTAAACTCATTGTCGACATTAACCCCTAAGTCTTTTTCCATTGTCGACTTCGAAGTCGTCACTCTGTCGTTGCAACCATGTCTTCTCATACTGTAATCTTGCTGAACATTGTTCCTGCCAAGGTGGATTACTTTACATTTGTCAGCATTGAAACGCAGCTGTCACATTTCTTCCAGTCCACTAACCTGTCAAGATCATCTTGCAACTGTAATTCATTGTAAACATATCGGGGGATATTAGTAGAGGTCTTGTAGGTCTTCCATTTTCTGATTGTAGCTCCCACAGTAGATTTCTTCACACCAAGCTGCTGGCCTGTTGCAGATTCAGCCTTCTCAGCCTGATGTAGGTCTTCAATTCAATTTTTGGTGTCCTCCAACAGCTCTTTCATCTTCACCATACTGGAGTTTCGAGTGTGGCTGTTTGAGGTTTTGGGCAGGTGTCTTTTATACTGTTAACGACTTCAAACAAGTTCCAATAATACGGGTAATGAGTGGGGGAAAGTGAAGTCTCTTAAAGAAAGAAGTTACAGTTCTGTGACAGCCAGAAATTTTGCTTGTTTTTAGGTAACCAATCACTTATTTTCCACCATTATTTGCAAATGAATTTTTCAAAAGTCCAATACAATGATTGTCTCAATTTTTTTCATGTTTTGTCTCTCATAGCTGAGGTCTACCTATGATGTCAATTATAGGCCTCTCTCATCTTTTTAAGTGAGAAAACTTGCACAATTGGTGACTGACTAAATATTTATTTCCCCACTGTATGTGAGTGTTGTGGAATGCCTTCTGTTGCTTATAACATAACATGACAAAACGTAGTGATGTCGGCGCTGAAGAGTTGGCCTGATGTGGCCTGCCGCCGATTCTTGTACTTTTCGCGACTTGTCCACAAGAGATCTGAAAACAGGTCCTTCCACCGGATCTTGTCCAAACTGACGATTGTTTGAAATAGCTGCTAGACTTCATTCGATATGTAGGTCTATTGAATTCTAGTTTTCGCGTCGCAAGTAGACGATTACTTTGTAAGAGTCCAGGTCGTTCACCGAGAGAATCAGTCCAAAGTTCTTTGTCCTCATTTCGTCACAGTACCAGGTGCTGTGAGGGACTTCAGGGAATGGGTTGAGGTCATTGTCACTCCTAAATAGTCTAACGAATATTTTTTCGTCGAGTCCTGGCATTATGAGAGCCGATTTCTTGTACTTCGTGTCACTTATTTGTCGTTTTCTCCATTCAGCCGTGGTCGAGAGAGGACGCTCGTGCTCGTGGTCCCAAATTTCTAAATTTTTTACTTTCTTACTGTGCCGTTTTCGGAACTCTTTTGGCATTTTTTATGATCCGTGTCAGAGAATAACCGAATTTCAGTGAAGTCAGTAAAAAAGAGTGCGAATAGAATGAACAAGCCTATAGTGAAAGTGTTTTAATTTTAAATAACGCGGACTTATAGAGTCAGTGAGGGTTGCTTGCAAGGGTAACCTGTAACGCCTCGCCTACGCGGGACAATACAGCCTTTGTTTTCGTGTCCAATGCAAGCCTCCCTCTTCCTATGAACACCTAGGCCGCTGAGATCGCCGCTCTCTGTAAAACGCTTGCTCTCAAGTCTGTAACAATTTGTAACAAACAAACAATTTGTACAATTTTGTACTCAACTTGATTTCGTTTTTTAACTTGTGTTTATCTAGTTCTTGCATTTAAAGATGGCTGGTCAGAGAGGAAAAAGATTAATTGAAAACACCTCCAGTCTTGTTAAACCGAATGCGAAGATCAAATCGCAAAATGAGCGAGGGGAAATTTGTAAATTTTGCAAGCTGGTTTCGATTAACGTCAAAGACGCTACAGTGGCCTGTGATCGTTTCGGGGATATCATCTGCAACAATTGTGCAAATTTGAGCAAGACTGACTGCTCGGTTATTCGCAGAAACAAGACTGTACACTGGTATTGCCAGGACTGCCAACAACCTGCACTTAGCGCTGTAAAAAGCGAAAAAATTGTGGAAGAAAAGTGCTCTTCTATGTTTTCTGTCTTTAAGGCCGAAATGGAGGAAATCATCAAACAGGAGTTGAGAAAGAGCCGAAATGGAAGAGAACCGCAAGAAAGAATTGAGCTTGTTGCGTAGCGAATTACACTCGTTACGAAACGAGCTGGTGGAAATGAAAGATCATCTGCACAAAACCGAAAATAGCGATAACACAGAAGGTAAAGGCCGCAGAGATGTCATCTCTGATCTCGCCAGCAAAAGCACTCGTGAACTGCTGGATAGAGAGAGAAGAAACCTTAATCTTGTTTGGTTTAACGTTCCCGAAAGCAATGCTTCGGATGCTGAGTTTATTACTGATTGCTGTGCCAAGGCACTTAACGTCGTTGTGAATATAACGGCATGCAAGGGGGCTGCGATCGAAAGGCGCTCGCTACCACCTGTAGACCGCTGTTAGTAACTGTGCAGGATACAGCCCAGAGGCCATACTTTCAAAATTAGCTAAGTCAACG